TTTTTTAACTTCTTTTTAGTTTCCTCTAATTTTGCCTTCTTCGGTTGGTTGAGCCGTAACAAAAAAATAACTACAGACAGTAAGTATCTTTTTCCAAGAGATGTACTAAAATATTTACGACTGAGGGTTGAAAAGTTATGCTCAATAAAAGGATAGTGAGTACAAGCTAGTAATCTTCAAGACATACGACACCAATGTGATGTAACAACACAAGGCGTAAATGCCGCCTTCGTAATTACTCTTCAATAAACTATATCCCATATCTTCATCTTAAGTTTGTGTAAATCGATTGGTTTATTTGCGCTCGCTCATCGTTATAACAATACGTATTCAGGTTTTCGGTGATGCCTAAGATGTGCTAGTATAGCGACTTAACTGCTCAAATTACAGACATTTTAATAGTCATTTGTGCAATTGCATATTTTATATTCACATATCTGGACAGCATCATCGATGAACAAAAATAATCTGATGTAGGTGTAAAGGCAAATCAAAGGCCGAATTGTTGCAATTGAAGAACATGTAGAACTCAAAACAATTATCAACAAATGTCAAAATGAGGTATTTTCAATACGAACGTCAAGTCAGTTCTACTGTAAGGAGCTGAAACTTGGAGAACTATAACAATCGTCATCAAGAAAGTTCAGGTAGTTCTAAAAACATTTTCACGCAGGATACTGAATATCTGTTGGTCGGATACCATCAGCAATAACTTACTCTAGGAGAGAACAAACATTATTCTATCTCTGGCTAAAATGTGTTATTCCTAGGTACTGAACATCCTATTGCTCACTGTGATAGTACGACGAGAAAGCTTAAAAAATGATGTGACCTCCACGTAAGATCTTATAGATCAGGCATTTACACCATAACAAATCAAAAATTTTGAGAATGGGTCTTTTATAAGAGTAGTACTAATGCCGAATGAGACCATAATTTTACAGACGTAATATATCTAGACCTTATAAGAATTGAATGTCTTTTTCAAATCTTGCACTTTATATTTATCACAAAGGTTTGAAGGTTCTGCATCAGTTCCAATTGAGATATTTTATCAGATGATTCGCTGAAATTGATGAATGTCACACTGACCTGCATGTGATCAAACAGTTAGCTCTTCAGTCACCATTAATTGACAGGTTAAAGTCTTAGTTGTTGAATCGGTTATCAGAGCAAATAATTTGTTCTTTGAAGATTAATGTCGTCTCTTTAACTTTCTTCAGGATTGACCTTTTCAAATTTGACACCGACCTTTTTCAAAGATTATGATAAGCTTCAGGGAGACTTTCGAAAAAACAGGATAGGTGAACACTTCAGGACATATCCGACCTAACAGCTGGTTAAAAATCACAGTATCCAGTATGAATCATGAAAAAATGGGAAGTAAACTTTTTTAGTTATCATGCAAACGGCAAGTACAAAATTACTTACTCATCATCGATCATACCATTGATTCTTTGTTTCATAGCTGTGCTGGCAATAACAACCAGTTGAGGGTCCTCAAATGAAAAGCTGAGTCAAGGCAACCCTAAAGAGATCTAGCAAAGCTGAAAAAATCAATTTGCTAGAACTGTTCATTATTTAGTTCTGAACACGTCAACTAACAATGTTGTGAACTACAGAGGAGACTCGGGTCGGATAATTCCTCTGTAGTCATCGCTCCTACAGGAACTTGTAACAGCATAGGTGGAACATGATTTAGGACTTTTGCGGAGAGTAGCCTAGATACTAATAGTAAACATCAGGGAGATGCAATAAAAGCAAATGCTACTTCCGCTTTCTCCACATTTATCTTCCAGAGGTAAGCTATTTGGAGTCAACAAGTAACCTGCCGTCAAGCTGAAAATATTATAGCAATTCTTTATATGTATGACAATTTCGACTTTCTCCTTTTGAACTATTGAATGTCTGCTTTTGAACGGTTGAACCCTAGAAGTTCTTTGCGTCGTGTAGTAAAGGAAAATATCAAACTCCGAAAGCCTTTCTTGCTGATAATTACTTTTTATTCTCGGCTCTGAAAAAGTTCAGACTGGTGGTTTTAGCAAGTTTCTATCCAGATCGTAAAACACAACATTCGGAGAGTGAGATTATCATTCGAAACACGCAAAACCCTTACCATTCAACATAGGATAGTAGGATATATAATTTTACACCAAATAAGGACGTAAACGAATACTTGAGCTGCAATGTTTTGACATTGCCAAGATGTTTTCTACCAACTCTTGGTCCCCTGTATCAGGTTGTTACAACCCTTTTACAACATAGGTAACATAGAATTCGTCGTCTTTCTTCCTGTTTGCTTGTTATAAATGTTCATTTTCGAAAACTCCGCACGCTACAGCTTCATAGCCATTCTATCATAGCATATAATTTACAAACGTGGTTGAGCTGCCTATCTCGTTTGTATTATTATGGTCCAACTTAATTTTAGCACGTTTATCTTTGCCACTATAATAATGGACCTAGTCTCAGAATTGTAGAATTGTCGTGATGTGACTGCCTGATCCATCAGACCTTATGTGGAAGTTACATCAAAGTGTACACCGACTAGACCTACGTGACAAGCGGCAATATGAACTGGTGGGTGCCTTCTTCAAACGAACATTACAATCAGTGTTACACACATTATTTACTTCACAACTACATGTAAGTGACTGGTTGGCCCCTCCCAAATCCTGCGGTAATCTAGCAAGCTCAACCACATCTTGTATCTCTAATATCTTGAACCCCCTCTTCAATTCGAGCCAATTTTCTAGTTGTTTCTTCTTGAGTAATGCCTTACTTAAACTGAACCTGGCAGAACTAATCCTAGCAAAACCCATACTCTGGTCACTAGTGTAATCAGTTTACCCCATTCAAATCAAACGGTTTGCGACTAGCTTCGGGAAGCTCACCTTACAATGCTGTATTTTCTTTTGATCCTCGTTTTTATCAGCTTTGTCCCAAAAAGACAGTTCTTTCATACAAACGTGAAAGAAATTCCGAAGAAATCTACAGGTATAACCAAAAAGGTTGATCCAAAATGAACTTTCAATGTCCGTGGTTCAGAAAATTTAGAAAACAAAGTTAAGGAGCGTTTGTGTTATTGTTCTAGTCTGTCAATGATTCATGATCAGTCGGCACGTTCTTAATTTGCGACTAAAATATCGAGAGAACATTATTCCAGTCTAGATAACATGTTTTATTTGTAAATTACATCAACACACAAAAATTAATGTTATAATTATTATAACAGTCATACAATAAATCTTCGGTTTTTAGATTGTCGAAGCACAAATTCCCGAATACTAAACCCAAACAGTCTGAAACCAAAAATGTCACCAAACGTCAGGTTTAACACAGAAAAAGGTCACTAATAATAAGCACATTTTTTCATCTGTAGAAGTGGACGCCGTTGTAACTATTAAATCCCGGCATTTAGAATCCGATCTCTTTACCCCAGAGCTAGAGTTTGCTATGTTGAAGCACAATTTCACCAGACCCAACGTAGAACCAGAGGGAACCTGATACCGCGAGCCATGCTCTATCATCCCCCTATCATCGACTTAGGATTCTGAGCCCTTGTGTCACATTCGTACTCAATGTCCTGTCAAAGACTTTGCAAGGGTTGACATACGGCGTTAGGTTACTACTTAGGCGCCTGCGTCACCTATATGTCATGGTCGTTGACAATATTGTGGGCCAAGTTGTCCTAAAATAAGGGTGGTTCTAGGCTGACTGGATTACATCTAGGCATTCGTTTGACGAATTTCCGACTTTTAGCTACATGAATCTCTTAAAACACGAACATAATCGTCCTATTCAGGAGTTATCGGATTGAGGGACAAACTGTACGAAGACCGCCTTAGCCGCCTATGATCGTTCTTCTCAAATCACAGGAGAATACGAGACAATTCGTTGATTGGATACAATACAGCAAACACTCGTGATCACCCAACCGAAACCAACTTCCTGAACCTCAAAGGTTCACTCCACTAAGTAACCGACAACGAATTGGGCATTCCTGAGCTAATGTCCAGGTAATGTCATGCTTTTTCTTATCACTCATGTGTTTCACCTGAACTACTACATTGAAGACAAGAGTGTGTCCCTCTAAGTGAACAGTATTACAGATCAGACACGAAAAATAAGCACTCATCCGTGTCTTGAGTTCCTAAGTTTTCACCAGCCTTACCTGATGCATATATACTTCCTATCGTTACTATCACTATTATTCCTATGAATAAATACTATGAATAAAGTTACTTCAACCCACTTGTGTTCGCTACTACTCGTTACCCTTGTCCACCTCTTAATCTTAGGATTTAGCCTGTTAATGTTGGTTGCGCGAACTGCTGATTTGCTCAATGTGACCGTTTTTAATAGCCTCAACAATTTATTCACAAATTCTGTACATTTAGACAGAACAATCTGATATTTGGTAGTGCGCTGGCAGCTTGTTTCATTAATTTCGATGCTCAGGCACAACTGCATTCGTTAATGCTCAAAAAATATCGAATCTCACTTAATTATCAATTCAGGTAGTATCGAAGAACCTTAGTTTCCTGGCCACACTGGACATGTAGTCATAGCATAGGATTAATGTTAAGGATGTAACAGGTATTCAGTGTTTGACAACACTTTTACCAGCAACACTTTCTAATGTAATTTGTACCCACCGAGAGAAATCAAAGACAGAGTCGAGGAGATCGGAAAAGTGTATTTGGCGATAACCAATATATCGGAATTGTTTGATCTAATCTGGCTAGCGATTGCGGTAGATGTTGAGCACAGCGTTACCACACGTGATCTGGTGCGGATGCATGACCGAGCGCCTTCAGCTAGATGAGTCCACTAAAACATATGGTCAGCATCCAATATCGAAAGCTTACAGAGCTATTTATTTTGGGGATTTATTTACCGCTACAATGTGAAATCGTAAGCAAAAAATTTCTTTGTGTCAGCTCATTGAAGAGATATTGGTTATCACTGACTTATGTTTTGTTTTCTTCAGGACATCCATGCATTGCACAAGACTATATTCTAAGGTGAAAATGCGTTTCTAGGCAAAGGGGGACGGTAACCGTGAGATTCGCTGCTGACCAGAGTAAAACAACAGACAAAACTTTGCGGCGCATCCACAGATAAGCAAAATAGTCCCTTGGTGGTTTCAACTTCCGATTTTACAAGTAATAAGTGGAACACAAGCACTACACTCCTTTGAATATAAGAGACACAGAAGCGATCTTATTTAGACTCACTCATGTATAACCAACCTGCTTGTCGTGGTGTTCAGAGAGATGACCATCCTTGTTCGCAAGGGGAAGGTTGAGGTCATATTCCATGACTTCTAAAAAGCTTTTGATAGAGTCAGTCTTATGTGTCTTGCCAATAAGCTCAAACGATTAAGTATCAGATCACCTCTATTTGATCAGCTTACTTCATATCTAAATAATCGACATTTTAGCGTCGTTGTAAACTTCACTTTTTCCTAGTTTACGGGATACCTTAGTTGGATTCCTCAGGGTCAATACTATGACCTTTTCTTTTTTTGAATTTATATTAACAGTCTTACACAGCAGGTATCGTTAGATTTATTGCTTTTTGCAGTTAGGAGAATATATTGGCACTTCAGGAGGATAAGACTCGACTTCAAAGTTGGGAAAACAACAGCAGACTTACTTTAAACACTGTGAAATAGTCTATTTACGAAATTTTGCAAACTACGAATACATCTGAGTTTAACCCCTCGACGGATACCCCAAGTTGAAAAGGTCTAGGAATATTGGTACCCCACTGTCTTAAGTCTTACGCTGGTTTTTTCCTCTTTTATCGTTAAACTTACCTAGGTTCTTACATGAAGGTATCGATGATCCACTGATACTAGATACGGATGTTCGTTAAGTGAAAGGTTGTTCTATTACGGCTAGAAACATTTGAAGCATTGGGAATTGAATTCAAGTTCCTGGCATTTTTAAGGTATTCGTTACGTCATGCTGTAATATTTATGGGAAAGAAAAACAAAAATAGGAGAGAACTATACCAGACGTTGGATAATTCTGGTAATTCTTAAACATTAAGCATTATTGGCTCAGGAGACAAGGTGAACTTTCGTAACAATGTGAAAGAAACTGTACCAGTTAAAGTAACACTTCTTTGGAAATAATTTTTAGGGTCTTCATAATTTAGGCAACACATGTTATCTTAATGCTGCTCTTCAATGTCTTGCAAGGAGTCCATGGCTTTTAAATCTGTTGGTTGTCGATGAACCAAGAGAATCTACTCTGACTAAACCTAATGGGGTAAACTTTAAAATCCAGCGTTATTGTTTAGGATTCAATATCTACGTTATGTGTTTCCCTACCACTAATGAAGTGCCCACTGACAAGTCAATTTAAGGAACTTGTTTCTGTTTTAAAGCCTGATGAACTTTCAAATTCCAAGATGAGCTCTTCTAACACAATTAGTCCCGGGGTTTGTTCTAGCAACTAGTTCTAGAATTTTCGTTTAAGATGTTTCGAAATGTGTTTGTTGAACGTTGTCCTCGATTCAGTGGATTTGGGCAACATGATAGCCATGAATTAATTCGTGCTCTCTTGGACTGCTTAAAACAAGAAGAACTTGCACGCTGGAAGAAGGGTATTTTACTCAAGCTCAATGTTAACCCAAAAGTTAGTCAATTATTTAGTTTAATTAGCGGAATTTATTGCGCATAAACGTATCCGTGTGTAGGGATTTCTTTCAGAATTCTGAACTTAGCCTTTTTGATCATTCGATGTATAAGTATAACGTCGTAGTAAATCCTTATCTTGATGACAAACACTGCATTCTTATTCAGAAGTTTTCCTATAGACACTCATTCATTAGGCCTAAGTTATTGATCCGCATTCTGTAGTGCGTTCTTCAGTATGACGACCAAGATTTTAATAGGAGGCAGTTGTACGGAGCGTCGCTTTGTGTAGTCTCACTCCACAGACGACTTAGTATGAAATGAGCTGCGGATATCAAGTTTTATTTTCAAAATCTGCTCAGACTTCCAATGCTTAGACCACACTTGCTAATATGATAGTTGTATCACTTGACCGAAGTTTACTTTAGGTCATATCCTGTTTTCGCTTTTGAAAGGGAGTTATTAGTCAATTTAGATTACGGCTGCGTCACACAAACATCTCTGTACCCATACATTGGTTTTATAAATAAACAAAGATCGTCTACTTAGGGCTTACCATGACCGTGCGTTAGTCTGTCTAGTCATACATAATAAACATGACGCGGTGTGGTGTGGAAGGTAAAAAATGACCGAACTTTATGAACATGGTTTGTAAAGACAGTTGGAAAGTATGTATGAGATGATGCTGTAATTCGAAATCGAAAGTTAACAAGTATCTGCTACTGTACCATTGCGAATTATTCCGAACCATGTCATTTAAGGTCCCCAACTACTGGGATAGTTATGTAGACGGATTTTATCGTATTTTTATTATCGTTTTTAAAGATACCTGAGGGTTAGTTTCAATGAGTCTGTTTCTACCAAATCCAAACACGTAACTTGTCACGTTGTTAATCAGGCTACAAAACGAAGAAAAGTCAGAGGACAGACTAATCTTATTGTGATGATAGTTGAATCCAACGTATTTCTATCTAGAGTACGAACCATTGTTGCCTTAGATTATAGGAATTTGTTGATCGGCGGCAACGATGAGTCAGTCAAAATGTATTAATTTGAATGATCGACTTGCTTGTTTCCTATCTAATCACAACATACATGGGCAGTCGATTTTGTCTAGATTAGTGACGGCCATAATTTGAGACTGATTATCAATCAGTGCAATCATTTATTGTCAGCTTAAGTTTCGTATTTTTTGAAATGCAGAGCTAAGTTTCCAAAACAATGCGAATCAATATTTTGACATCTTAATGAACGTACTTAGGAATCTATCCAAGTCACATGGCCACAGCCACCTTTTTCTCTACATATGTTAAAACGTTCTGTTTTCACTATGCAACCTACTATCTTTTCTGTGTTCAATTTCTGTGCTTCTGCCTTTTAGTTTAAAAATGTGGTTTATTGAATTGATATGTCACTATTAAATTCCCGATGCATGTAGGAATATTGGGCCCTTTATCTTCATGTGTGTCAAATATCTTCACGTTTACCTGTCCACCCAGTAAATAACGTCACCTGCAAAAATAGTGGGGTAAATACAAAATGCGTATATGCTGCACTTGTTTAGTTGATATCATGGAATTATTTAACCAAGTGATAAACATCTTAATCGAAACTACGCTTTTATTATATGGACGGCGTTATAGTGACCAGCATTTCCTCTCAATCAGTAGTTTAATGTAGAGTAGTTACACGGCGAAGAGATTATTCTTTAATGAAACACAAATTGGTGGTAAAAAATAAATGTGCATAACTTTACGATAAGCTGTAAGACACTAACGCTTATACCTTGTGAGATAAGAGATTTCAAGTTCGGACTTCAACTTTACACAACAATTGAGATTTTCTTTTCTTTTCACTATATAACAGGATGTTCGTGATGATGAGAAAGAGTCTATTCGCAATTGGGGAAAAGCAGCTTCAATAGCCACGACTGTAGATCGACTTTTCGGTGGGATTCTTGTCAGTACATTACAGTGTTGTTGTTGTGGTACTGTTCGCCCTAAATTTGAACCATTTCTGGACCTTTCATTGTCTGTTTCTCAAAACAATGTTTCAAAACACAATATAAATGAATTAGTGTCTAAACAGCATTCTAAAGGTTAGTTTACTAAGTGTTTGAGTCCAAATTCTACTGCCATGTCCAGTTTCTATACTTTTTAACTGTTAAACAGCTGTCAGAACAAGAAAAATCATATCACAAAATTTTCTGTCACAAACCATTTGATAGGTGGACATTTCCGGTATAACAGATGATCTCTCTATTTCAACTTGAAAGTGGTTTTCATTGGTCGGCGTCTTAATGAGTTTAGTAAGTGGTATACATTGCAAAGCAGTTTGGGAGGCTCATTCACCAGGTAATCAAGTGTAAGTCACGCTCTATCAAGCTACAGTTCCAGTCGGTAAATGCAAACTACCTGATTGAGATCCATTCAGTAACCGCGACTTCTGGTTGAAGAATTTGGGCAACATGGATTAAAATTGGTCAGTGCGGCGAAAAAACACATTCAGTATCGTTTTATGAACATCAAGTTCCAGTATTCCTTCATACATATCTTTCCACTCTGTCTTCTTGAAGAATGTCTCGTCTTTCTTGTTAACATTGCCACTATGATTACTCTGATTTCTTTATCATTCATCTGACCGATCTTTTCATTTTGTCTCATAGGTGCCTCCAGTTCCAAACAACTTCGGAAAAAAGAAGTAAGTACATTGTCTATTTTAATTATAAAGGGAAATCAGTGTACTGAGCATGAAAATTATGATGAGTTTTTATTACCTTGTCGGAAAAAGCAAGAAACAATCCAGGGGGAAGAGTTTCCTTTTCGATAATGTCATTTACTTAAGCTGTACAGTCGTAATCATGGTTAATTTATTTGGTCAGAATAGTAGTCTATAATAAAACAAAACAGAATAATTAAGATCTATTTATTATTTTATTTATTTGAACACATAAATATTGGTACAAAAGAGCACCGAATACACAAACGCCATACAAGTCACTTGATCTGTATGTGAGCTGTGATACTGTCCAGGTGACCAGACCGAATCAGATGGTTTTCTTAGGAGGCCACACTCGGAGCATTCAACCTAAAGGTGTGATCCACAAGGCAGTGGAGCAACGTGAGAATATACAGTCCCATGGTAGCCAGTCACCAACGATTGGTTCATACGCCATTTGTTACTTCGGGATTCTGGAATGCATATGAACCATTTGTTTGGAATGAGAGTTTTCCAACTCCCCTAGGTGAATCCTCCATATCCACAAACCCGGTTTAAGCCCCTGTCGGACATTCGCTTTTCGTCCTCTGAATTTCGTAAACAACACTCGTGATGCGAGAAGGCAGTGAGTAGGACTTCTTTGAGAGTGGCTGTATACTCGTGGTCATGTGAGAACATTTGAGGAGGGAGAGTTGACTCTCCTCACCTTCATCCATACCAGGGCATTTCATCTAAATTTAAACAAACGGTTTCACAGCAGTTGTGTGCCGAGATAATTGAAGACAATAAAGGGAAAAATCATTTTCTTGAAATTCCCATAAATTGAACGTTTCTCTTGACATTCCTAATCCAAACATTCTCAAGAAAATCTAGTCAAACATCAATATTATCAAATATAAAAACATACACGATTCTTTGATTAACTGTATATTAAGTAGGTCATCAAATCATGTTAAGAATGTTGCGAATGAGATTTGTTGTAGTGTGTATAAGATATTTGATGTAAAAAGTGAAGAAAATTGTGTTAAAATAATAGTTGTCTATGTGTGTAAATAGATCTGATACAAGATAAATTCATTGATTGGAGTAGGCACCGACTGTATAGTCCGAATATTTTCGGGATCTGGTCTGCGGCCTGCAGTGTCAAATATGAGACCTAAGTACTTTATTGAATTTAGGAAAAATTAACACTCTTCTGGAAGTAATGGAAACCTATTATCACTGATGCGTTGTAGTACAGCTGTCGTGCGTTCTCTTAGCTGTTCTAACGAAGTGATAACAGTTAAGATATCATCTAGATAAGTTGTGACCGCCGGGATACCCGATAGGATGGTATCTATGAGACGTTACCAAGTGATCTTTGGGAATCTAACATCTCCAACAATGTCAACTAAAAAAGGCAACATTAAGTTCACCCGAATAAAATGTTTATCTCAGAGATGCAGGAAGTCTGTTTTCCATAATTCCTGCCATTGTATCTTCTTTCAAACTAACCGTTCATGAAAAGAATCTTCTTTGATGCCATAGACACTTATTCACGTTGCTACATTGACTTTAGATGTTAATGAATCTAAGTGGACATCCATTGTTGGCTAGCATTTACCGCATTGTATCAAGGTCAGTTTTGATTGTATCATCGGCGCAGATTCGTCTAACCATCGTACATAAAAAATGGATTTGTTATGACTTTATGTCCGGCTTTTTATCCCGTGATTTATCCACCAATCAAAATACGACTTATACAATCTTAGCACTGTTCCATACAAATGACCTTCAACCGGTATGAGCAGCCTAGTGTCCTTATTGGTCCTATGTCCACTTAGCCTGTCCGCTTGAGTTCAAAACACCGATACCAGCTTCTGCAATATGAACCAAATCATTTATTTCAAACATACTGTGTTTATATATCAAACAAACAGATCGCAACGCACCATAAAATAGGAAATAACATTTGTATACAATCAAGCCGAAAGGTGACTGTGAACGTGAGAGACAGTAGTTAATAAACTGAGCATAGTTTAGTGACAGTAAATCGTACAATAATAAATTATAGGTCAAAATGAGGTTTATAATAAGAGGAATATAAATATCTTGATGGAGTTTTGTTGTCTGAGCTACAAATCTCCACCATTTCGGAATATAAATATACATAATCTAGTTACTGAATAGTTATACAATAAGAATATATATGTATACAATATTAGTCCATTAATAAGTCTCAGACGTTACTCGTACTTTAATCTTCAGTAGGATACAACAGGATTAGGTTTCTCTTTTTTTTCAATGCGATCCAACCTTGAAATTTAGTGTAGTAGCCTTTCCACATTGGTTTTCTGTACATCGATATTTGAAGCGAGTCATCAGGTTACATTTTTACGAAGCATCTAAGAAGTGGACTTCTGAACCCGACCCTTTTTTATTTTAATATTATTTTCACCAAATTATAGCGTAAACGTAAAACTCAAAAACAACGGAAACGTCAAAATTTTATACATGATCATCAGTCAGATCAGGAATGTCTAGATCAGTGCAGTTCAGATTCAGATAGTCGAAAAACAAAACATATTGAACATTCACCATTGGATACATTTATTGCAATGTGTTGTGCTGATGCAACAACTCCAAATGTAGATAGTAAGCTAATAGAGAACGTGAATGGGGATCTTGACATAGATGAGAACCAATATAAAGATAATAATGGCAACAACGATGTAAATAAGAATGGGGAGAATTTGCCCAATTTGAATGAATGCGAGCTTTCAAGTGAGTAAACGTTTTATTGTTTCTTATGACTTTCTATTTTTACTTGTTGAATTTTTGTGAATCATTCGTAGTTTTTTATAGACAGGATTTCACTACGAAACTACATCTTTTTAGGGAGATTGTTTTAGAAAGAAATGAATTCATTCATAGTGGTCACTTGTATTTGTAACCAGTGAAGCTGATGTTTTAGTGGTTCTTCAGTCAGTCAGTCAGCCATAACGTAGGACCAGACAAAATCGTTTGGAACCGGGAATCATTAAAAAGAGAATAGGAAATGTTTCGTACAAAGTGCATGGGACTTTCTGGACATTGATTGGACACTTCAATCAAATACACAGAGAAAAAAGGACACTAAACACAATAGATACTCGAGTGAGTCTTCCGCTAGAGAATGAGAGTTTTCCAACTCCCCTAGGTGAATCCTCCACACCCACCAACCAGGTTTAAGCCCCTGTCGGACATTCATTTTTCGTCCTCTCAATTCCGTAAACAACACCCATGATGCGAGAAGGCATTGAGTAGAACTTACTTGAGAGTGGCTGTATACTCGTGGTCATGTGAGAACATTTGAAGAGGAAGAGTTGACTCTCCCCACCCTCATCCATACCAGGGGATTTGGGGGCTGGATCATGAAATGTACTACTGAAAATTAACAACAAAAAGACTTCCTGTTTTAACTTATTCACCTAATGTTGGTTTATGAAATTTAGATACTCTATAGTACTTATAAGTAGTTTATATTTTAATGCATAATTTCTTCTGTTTTATTGATTAATTGTAAAACAAACCATCTTCTGTTAGGTTGATGTGATTTTTTTCTTATATTGAGTTGTGATAAGTCTTCTAATTGAACGCTAGATTAGGTTTTATAAGCTCTCCTAGTACCCCCCAGGTTAAATCTACACAGTGACTTGAGCATAAGAGATCCCCCAAATGCCCTGGTACGGCCGAGGGTAGGGATAGTTAGCTCTCCCTCTCCAAATGCTCTCACATGACTAGGCGTATACAGCCACTCTCAAGGAAGTCTTACTCAATGCCTTCTCGCATCACGAGTGTTGTTTACGAAATTCAGAGGACGAAAAGCGAATGTCCGACAGGGGCTTAAACCGGGTTTGTGGATATGGAGGATTCACCTAGGGGAGTTGGAAAACTCTCATTCCAAACAAATGGTTCATATGCATTCCAGAATCCCGAAGTAACAAATGGCGTATGAACCAATCGTTGGTGACTGGCTACCATGGGACTGTATATTCTCACGTTGCTCCACTGCCTTGTGGATCACACCTTTAGGTTGAATGCTCTGAGTGTGGCCTCCTAAGAAAACCATCTGATTCGGTCTGGTCACCTGGACAGTATCACAGCTCACATACAGATCAAGTGACTTGTATGGCGTTTGTGTATTCGGTGCCCTTTTGTACCAATATTTATATTATCAAATAAATAAATAAATATGTATATTACTTATACTTTATTATTAATGATAACGTTTTCTTAATCCTTTTAGATGAAACATTAAATCAAAGTTTTTGTGATGAAGTGGCATCCTCAGACGGTAAGCTGTTTACTTTTTTTTCTTAAAAGAAGGAATTCTGATTTGTATAATTTTACATTTATCCATTGATATTCACATCTCTTTATTTATAAGTTATTCTCAGTATCCAAATAATATTTAGTTAGTCGTTAGGAAATTAAGTTCCTTGGCATGAATATGTTGCAATCGATCGAATTTATTATAGTATAGTTACTAGAAGATAGAAAATGAAGTAGTCTATTCTATCTTATTTTGTAATGTGCTTTTGATTTCAAGTAACAATGAACCCCTTAGAAAGGTCTATTTACAGAAAACAAACATGGAATGGCTAACTAACCAATTTCTATAACTCGGTTCTTTTAAAAAGAAAGAGAAATCTTATTCACTCTTCATGTTGCTGACATGCGTTGAGGAAGGACTTGAGTTTCTTAGGAAAATATTGGCTGAAGATGGCTATTCAAGTTACTTCGTGGAAAAAATTATGAAAGAACGTTGGAACAAAGAAGTCAGAAATTCCGTTTCAATGAAATATCTTTATATGAATCTGGAATTTCAAGGTGACCAAACCTCCGATATATTCAAATATTATCTATCAACAGCTATTAAAAGAAGATTCTGTGCGGCAACTGACATTAATTAGCAGAAAGTTTGTATCTGTATAGGATAAACTTTCTCATCAGGTTTTCTCTATGTGCATCTATCAGTTCATCGGGTAGTTCATCTGTGAAGCTAGGTACATAGGCTATAGTCAGCGGTCAATCTCAATTCGAATATGAGGACACATTACAGTGTATTTCTACAAGAGTAAGAAAAAAGCAGTTTTAAGTTCTGTTCTTGAAAATTTAATCAATTCTAATCACTCTACTGACCTGCAAGCTTAAGGTTTTCGTCTTCAACTCCTTAAAACAACAGAAAGGATTAGTGCTGAAATTTCATACCATATATACGATTTTTACCCTTCGGGCTGCCTACCAGGATTCTTCAATCAACTCTGCCTTAAACCCTCTTTTCCAGTTGTTGATTAAGTGCTATTCATTCTTTTGTTGTCTGCTTCCAATTCCCAGTGTAATATGTCCTTTGGTCTGTCTCTATTGTTTTCGCTTTGAGATTTCCAAGTTCCGACTTACCTTGATGCAATTTGATTCTTTGCGATTTTTTAATGATAAGACATGTGGCGATGATTTATGGTTCAAATAAAACCTTAAAAATAAGATAATATGAAGACACGACAGTATGAATATCTACTAACTGTACTATGAAACTATAAATAGTAATCTTTCATATGATCATCTCACTAATCATCTCATTATGTCAGTCTTATACTTTACTTACTTGTTCTTTCGTCAATCATCTTAAGTTAACATGGATACAAATTCAGACATAGTGATTTATTCAGTTTATTTCACAAACTTGTTTTAGTTAGACAGCCGTTTAAAACCAGGAGGGACTAGACAACTGTTTTATCGTAGTGTGGGACTTCTCCGTGGTGCCAATCTACGACCTCACCATAAAGGATTATACCCTAAGAGCTTCAGGTCTCATGACTAGCACCTAACATCCAAATAATTGAGTCGGCATCCAATGGCTAACATTCCTAACGTCGGTCAATTTATGACATTGTACATCTATCATCTAGTGAAACTAATAAGTAACTTCCTCATTATTGACATGATTAAACTCCACTGATTACCACTTTTCACTAGGACGTCAGTAGTTACGTCTTGTGAGGACGGATCCTGGTGAACTGAAGGGAGCTCTGAAAGAGCCGAAGACATTCCATCCAATCATCGTCTGGAAGTACATTCCAAAATCTTGACATATAGCTTCTCGATTAGAGAGATGCTCAAAATCACTGCCTACGGATTGCGTGACTGTAATGATTATTTCGTTATTAATGAAAATTACAAGTATGAGAGCGTTTTGTATCATATCTGATACTTCTTGGAATAAGATTCCTTTCCAGTCGTCTTCTGTCTTCTAAATTACGACTTGGAGTTTGAAACGTTTGAGTGCTTAAGTTGTACGCGGTATAGCAAAAATTTAACTTTTAGATATAATATGTCTCATGATAAGTACTTACTACAGTTCGTTTTCTTTGTTTTATAGATGCTTTTGTGATTCTATACTTTCCCTCTACTTTCAATTTGACTTATTCTATAGTCTATTTATCCTGTTTGTTACTTATTTTTTTATGAAGGAAATTGTGCAGACGGTGAAGGCAGTGATCGATGTGATAGTGTTGCATCACTACAAGTTATTACAAATGGCTGTAATGAAAATTTACAACAAGTAGAGATGAATAATACCAATACGGAACAGATTACTTATGAATTAGAAAAGTTATGCTTGAACACAGTTCCATCGTTTTCATGTGATTCCAATGAACTAAATCAAGCTATTCATTATGCGCGAATCCCACTTGGTCAAAGTAAAAGTATCAACTCAACAGAAGATGGAGTCACATCTATTTATGAATGTCTTTCAAAATATACATCTGCTGAATTATTAACAGGATCTAATCGTTTAATTTGTGATGTATGCACAAACGAAATTCATTAGATGAATTGGAAAACAATTTGACTAGTGAAACAATGAATAAACAAACGTCTAACAACAACAACAACAACAACAACAACAACAACAACAACAACAACAGTAACAAGTCAGACATTTTACAAGATGTTATCAAACGTGATTTAATCTATAAGCCTCCACCAATTCTGACAATACATTTGAAGCGATTTCAACAGGTAAATTATTCTCTTGATAGTAGGAAAAAAAAGATTGGTTTACTCTTAATACGTCTGGTACTTTTGGTGGAGTTTTATTCTCTAAGCTGAATGGTTTGGTCGTGGAACTTTCATCGTTCTTCTGAACGATATCATCAGCGCAAACTTCAGGTAGAAGTGAAGTGTTCGAATTTCTACACATGTGGTTCACAGCTTGTCCTGTATATCTCGACGTCTGGTACTTGAATGTTTGATGCTAATCAATTCATAGCCCTCAGGAATTTTCCACACTTGAATCTCGGTAAGAATATAAAAGACTGGAGATATAAAAAGATACTACATCCATGGTTAGTATAAGTAGGAGTACAAGAATATGTATCCTCGATAATTTAGAAATGCTGTACCTTGCTTTTCCAATCAGTTCCCCCACATATATATCAGATCCCACTTGCTTATAAGTGATGCTGCCCAGGTATGTGAAAATTTATGCCTCTTCTAGAGCTTTTCCACTAAACGTGATTGGGTTGGTGTTCTCCGTGTTGCATTTAATGATCTTAGTTTTCCCCATTGTGTTTTCTGAGGCATACTGATGCACAAGATGCTGCTACATTAGTTGTCTTGACCTGCATTTGTTCGTGTGTATGAGATAGAAGGACCGGATCATCTGCGAAGTCTAAATCGTCTACTTGCATCCAAGCTGCTCTCACCGACGCGTTGTAGACCCGACCTTTTATAGCCAGACTGACATTACGAAGGCGCCAGAGATGGCTCACATTGACATAAGCCCCTCTGGCTTTCACTATACGTTCATTGATCTCATCACTCACGCCACACCAGCACTTATGCAGCTACCTAGATACACGAACTTCTCGACTACTTTATCTGCTCACCATCCAGGGTGAGTACAGGATTGGAATCCTGCTAGTCTCGTAGAAGTACTTTGCACTTTGAAGGTGCGAAGCACAACCCGTACCTACGAACATGTTTGATTAAGTGCGGATACCGATGTTGAGGTGTTCATAATCCAGTCGAAGAAGGTTCCATAATGTTCTCCTATCTACACTGTCAAACGCCTTATATTCAATGAATTTGATGTATAGTGACGAATTCTGCTGGACTGATTACCCAACAATGATTCGTAGTTTCAAGATTTGGTTTGTGCACGACTGATCCTTACGGAATTCGGTCTGTGTATTTCGAAGTTGGGCGTCTACTGATCAGTACCATACAGACGTTCAACTATTAAGTTGCGCACCTATTTATTTCGCACTGAAACAAGCAGTATTAACATTCAGAACAGCTAACACTGTTAGTTTAGTTCATTCACCAAGTACAGACTTGTGTACTTGGCTTGAAGATACGCGTTAAGTGTGAGGTATATTGTGAAACTGTAGTGAACAGAACACGGGTGGGGATAATCGAATGTATTTAACACAAAATTACAGGACTTGTTAATAAAATCTAACAATCATAAAGTAAATACTTAATTTGCAAAATGTCCACCAATTGTCTCACAATGACTCAGACTTCATTGTTCTTGCATTTTCATACAAATTGCATTCTGTTTCCATTAGTTACTGTTCGATCCTCTTGTCTCTCTGCTGCCAGACCTTCTGTTCACGACTAACATCATCAACTACTTATGTCAATATAAGTAGCACACATCACATTGGAACCTGTTGTTGAGAGTTATCTTGGATTCATTGAGTTTGTCAGTATCTCGTAAGAAGCTGTATTGAAGGTTTGTGATGCTGTTTGTCCGGTTGTCCAGTGTTTGTTTAGCTTCAGTTTCATCTTGTCAGTCACAATCATATGGTGATGTGAAGCTATGTGAGCTTCGCTCTTGATGGTCACGTCTCACATTGACCGTCGGAATTTTTTGGTGGTGCATGTCTTATTTATCTGGCTGTGTGTAGTGTGATCAGTTGAGACCCATGTATGTTTGTGTATGTGTTTTTGAGGGATTGTATTTCCACCTTTAACCATTTTGTCGAATGCACATAAATTTTCAAATCTCTCACCATTCTGGTTCCTTTGTCTTCGTCCATGTCGTCCCATGATATCTTCGTATTCGGTGTTGTCCATTCCAACATTGGTGTTTAGGTCTACCATCTGGATGGTCAAGTCCTTTCCTGGACACTTCACTATGATTGATTGCAGCCTCTCATAGAACTGATCTTTATCGTCGTCATCGCTATCGTTGTTGGGTGCCGAATACTGGATATAATTCATTGTGATTCCCTTCTTTGTTTTGAAGGAAGCTTTCATGAACGTGAAACCATGAGATTCTCATTCTATAAGTACTTTTCGTGCTTTTATGTTCAGCATCACTGCAACTTCCAGTATGTGCGATGCATTTTGTTCTTCATGATCAGAGTACAACAACACTTCTCCCTAAGCTAGTCTTTTCTATCCAGGTTGATTCAATGAGTTCCACTTATTCTGAGAACCACCAAGTTGTATCTCCTCATTTCCACAGCTATTTTATTGGCCCTTTCATTAGTTCACATTATCTAGACGTTCCATGTACATATATAATAATTGTTGCTCTGGTTGTTTCAAGGGGTATCGACTTCTTGATTTCCAAAGAATCTGTGCTTTCACACTGAGGCGTCATAATTCTTATGAATGAAGATCTTTCAACTCGCAGGACAGTTCAAATGGTTTGAATTTTTTCTTTTATACCTAGGTCGTTTTATGTGGGCTGGGGTTGCTGATCCCATCTCCAACCCTCCTTTATCCAGGTTTGGGACAGACAGTAATCTTAGAAGAGCTTTCAAATAAACTGAGGCTGTTTATACTCCTTAATGTCTACTTTCTTCCACATTTCAGGTCGGTGTTCAATTACGAAAATCTCAGAAACGTATTCATTTCCCAATCTACTTGGATATCACTCCTTTCTGTTCTGTACTCGCTATGGTAATTAGTTTTTTGTCATTTTTCTTTGATGATTATTCTTATAACCTTTGTTTGTTTGATACAAAAAATTACCCATCGTGTACATTTATATTTTTTTTAATACTGACCAAGGCTCCAAAATGCCCTGGCACTCTCATATGGACAGGCGTATACAGTTACTACCAAGGGAAGTCCTACTCACTGCCATCTCGCAGCGGGTGTGGTGTTTACGAAATTGAGAGAACGAGAAGCGAATGTCTGGCGCTTTAACCAAGTAGGTAGGTTTGGAGAATCCACCTAGGGGAGTTGGAAAACCCTGACTCCAAATCAATGGTACACATAGACTCCAGGATCCTGAAAGAACGAATGGCGTATGAACCAATTATTGGTCACCAGGTACTATAGGACTGCATCTGCTGACGTTGCTCCACTGCCTTGTGGATTAGACCTTTAAGTTGAAGGCTTTGGGTTTAGCCCCAAAGAGAACCACCTGTTTCGGTTTGGGCACCCATACCGTATCACAGCTCACACACAAATTGAGTGACTTCTGTGGCGTATATGTATTCGGTGCCCCTTTGTACCAATATTTATGTGTTCAAATAAATAAATAATTAATTAATATCAAGTTATTAAAGTTATTTATTATATTTTATGAAATTATACATTGTATTGACCGCTATTTATGCTATACACAAGTATTCTTAGAGATACTTATTAGGAAATCTTACAGTTGCAGAGGTTCTTTTGAGCATTTGGCGGTAAACAAGATAATTGATTTTAAATGTGTGTGAACTGTTATCACTTTCTATCCTCCCACACGCTGTAGGAATGTATTTTCTTGTGACGTCTGGATTAGTAGTGATTGTCTTGTCGACCCGGAAGCATAACTACAGAGTCAAATTTCATTTATTTTAGATTGGCCAGGTATAAGCAATTATCTCTTTTACTTAGATTCACGTTGATGGTTGATAGGCCTGTCACTACTGATTAAGCTTCTTTTCTTGACTACTCAGTAAAGTATTCCTTCCACGGTATTAGTAACAGGGTTGTATAAACCACCCATACACCTCGAATAGCGCTAAATTCTATAACTATAGACATATTAGTGTAGGTTGATCTTCTAACAGATCATTTCTTGTGGTTGTTTTTGTCCACTCAACGATCCTATGTAATATTTCATTATGATAATTAGTTTGATTCTTGTTTGACTGGGTGAAGTGCATGTATTATTTGAAATTAGTCTAATGAAATGTTATTCCTTCAGTTCTCTGTTTGTTTAAACTTTATTTATAGACTCATTCCAATCAGATTCGTTATCGTCTTTACGGTGTGATTGAACATACTGGACATTTAACTTCTGGTCATTATGTAGCTTATGTAACTGTACCAAAATCATACACTAATTATAATGATAATCAATCAGATCGTATAGAGCATCAATTCATTGGCTCATTGAATCGTTCACCTAAATGGCCTTTATCTGTTAATGATTTAATTCAACGTCTTCGTCGATGTGATCATCATCAATTGTTATTGTCATCGAATAATTTTATGTCTTGTACTCAAAATGGCAACAACACTATCAATCATTCAACAAGTCATATTAATGAAGTGATTGATGATGATCATGATAATGATGATTCACGTCAATGGTTCTATTGTTCCGACAGTCATATAACACGTGTATCTCAGTCAACTGTATTGAATTGCCAGGCTTATGTTTTATTTTATGAACGTATTGAATGAAGAATGTGTAGAACTCTTAGAAACAAACATATTTATGTATACTTTGTGAGTGTATATATATATATATATATATATACATATTACCACTAGTTACTATTCTTTCATAATGTCTCTTATGCGAAATGATGATTGTAAATAGTTTCGCTTTCCCCTTCCCCTGTTTTTATACATAGGTTTTAGAGAAATATATCTTTTGAGAATGAAAAACAGAATTTTTGTTTTGTTGTTAGTGTTCTCGTTCTTCATAGAGCTCGTATGTGTTTGTGTGAATAATCTTAGTCTGGACTACTTGGTGGGCTTATCTACTCTCTATATATATGTTCAAAGCTCAGGTGAATATATGTTATCATTGTTAATCTATCGATGGTAGTCATCAGGAAGCCTTACTCCGCATGAGTTTCGTTTTAGTTGGCACTTATTAGCAATGCACACAAAAACCTTGAGGAGAATGGCACTTTTTGTAGGATTCAAATCTGAACCGCTAAGCTTCATAGTGTAAGACGTCATTCGGGCCGTGATTGACCTCTTGTTAGACAGAGATATTTACAGTTGATTAATGATTGGATAGTGATTAGTATCATGTTTGCGTGTTCTTTATTGCTGACAAAATTCGGTCGACCTAGTTACTATTGTAATGCTTAACTTCAGTGAGAAGTATCCAATATGATAATCTGTACAAAATACTTATTACCACTTATCTGTGGCTTCATTGAACAATAGACATAGACAACTACCTATCCTTTGCTTCAGATTCTCCAATCGATCCCTAGGTTGGGCATTTAACAGAAGATTTATGTAAAAGGTAATTAGGCCAACGACTATTGATCGATACCTACTTCGTTCTGGGCATTCAAGCATTATATCCCAGCCCTCAGACAAATCGAATGATTTTTTTATGCGCATATCTATCTTTGATGGCTCCTTGTACCAATGTTTATGTGTTTATATAAATAAAAAATTTTTTACTATAATATTTACCAAATAGATAAATATGTAGAACAGTTTTCCCTAATATGGCAATCAGTCATTCTATTAATCCAAATCTATTCTATATCCCCCCTCTTTTAATGAAATAATATTGACCTATTTTGTCTATTAATAGATTGATTATGGAACCAATCAATAAATTATTGCTTCCTATCATATTTGATTACTTAGTCTAATTGAACAACCCCCCTTACTACTAACACCACCACCACCAACAAAACAACAACCAAAAAATAACAATAACATAACTTCAGGCACATATTTATTGATTAAAAAGTTAAATGGTTCAATGAAATGAGGTTAAGGTGTTGTGGGTATATTATACAAAATAGACAAGTGAATGAATGAAAGTAAATTTATAAAGTGTATACATTGTTCCCTGTTATAGGTAGGTAGTTAGGTAGGTAGGTAATAATGGGTAATGTTGATCGATAGATTAAAGAACTTTTTTCCTCTATTCTTTAATTCATTTAACATTTAAGAAAATGGTTCATTAGTATGGTAGAATATTTAAGAATTTTTCATGAGACATTTTTTTAATGATTGCTCTGGTTGTTAGGAGGAGCATCGACCTCGTGACTTCCGAAAGAATTCGGCTTTCACTATGAGGCGTCTAAATGAAGATCGAACTCCTTGGGGTAGAGTTTAAACGGTTTGAATCATTTTTTTCTGGTTAGCGTTTTTTTTAGTGAGTTAGTTTTCTACGGAATGGGTTTGCTAACCCCATGCCTAACCTTCCTCCTTTATACGGGCTTGGGATTGGCAGTAACCTCAGAGGGACTCCAGGTGGAGTTTTGGATGAAAAATAATTCATATTATCCTTCATCTATAAACATAGCGAAGTGATTGAAGTCAGGAGGTTAAGTGTCTGTGCACGTGATCGATTTCGATCGGGTCGTGTATACACATAGCTGAGGGGTCTCGTATTAGGACGACTCCAGGTTCTAAACTGTCATTCAATCAGGATCAGCCTGTCATTATAGTCTATAAATAGATGCTTTATTGTCGACATGGTGTGATCATATGACTGTAGTCTAATTGTCCAATATTTAGGCAGTAGTATTTATTTATTTATTTCAACACATAGATAATGGTACAAAGAGGCACCAAATACATATGCGCCACACAAATCTCATTCGATATGTGTGAGAGCTGTGATGCTGCCCGGGTGCCCAAACCGAAGCAGGTGGTTTTCTTAGGGGCCAAATGATTGCCAAGATTGTGTTTGTTACATCAATCTAATGTAGAGAACTCTGTGAATATTTTGAATATGTAAAGATAAGTGAGGAATGATGCAAATGTGTCAGAGTCTCAAAAACTACTGCGATCTCTTCATACTTTTCTATATAGGTTGCAAAATATATTAACCAAAAGGATGTAAAGACCAAAGTAGCTGAGGAGCGTACAAGGTTTGATGTATCAATGGATTCGCGGATAATAAAGCTGATTTAAGAAATGTTAAAATTATGGATCAACGAAATTCTAAGAATGACATGAACTTTCTAGGATCATGGAATTTCGTTCAATCAGTAATTAATACACATATTATTATAGATCCAGTCCATTAATCTTTACACAGAAGGTTTATCAATTACATCATCAGAGATCGATTGAACAAGACAGTCAACTTGAGTACAAGAATAATGAAACTTACGGAGATTCCCAGTCACAAATCAGGCCATCATAATTAACTTACACCTTTTACCCGTTATGCCGCTTCGATATCCGGTGGATTCAGTGGAGCTGGTCTATTCAAGAGTTCCTCGAAGTATTCTACCCCTCTTTTCTTCTGCTGTTGAATCTCAGTGATTGGCTTGCCTTCTTTATCCTCGACTGGATTTTCCGGTTTACAATATTTCCCTTCTAGTTTCTTCTTTGTGTCACATAGTTATTTGATATTGCGTTCTCTTGCAGCTTTTTCCAATGTCGTTGCTAGGTCTTCCACGTATTTCTGTCTGTCAGACCCTAATGCTCCTCTTCACTTGTTTGTTTGCTTCTGTGTATTGAGTTTGTGCCTTGACTTTGTCTGTTGTTGTTCGGCTGGTTGTTGCTAATTGCTGTCTTCTTGTTCTTGCTTTCTTGACTGTTGTCTAGTGTTTCGTTAGAGGTGGATTCCTTATGATGATGCTTGGTGTGTCCGAGAACCTGCTGATATGTTGAAGTTAGTGGTTGTTTGATGCCTTTGCAACTGTCCTGCATAGTAGTTACCGCTCCTGCCAGTAGATTTGGTAAGGGTTGGAACCTGTTGTTGAGAGTTATCTTGGATTCATTGAGTTTGTCAGTATCTCGTAAGAAGCCTGTATTGAAGGTTTGTGATGCTGTTTGTCCGGTTATCCAGTGTTTGTTTAGCTTCAGTTTCATCTTGTCAGTCACAATCATATGGTGATGTGAAGCTATGTGAGCTTCGCTCTTGATGGTCACGTCTCACATTGACCGTCTGAGTTTTTTGGTGGTGCATGTCTTATTTATCTGGTTGTGTGTAGTATGATCCGTTGAGATTCATGTATGTTTGTATGTATTTCCACCTTTAACCATTTTGTTGAATGCACATTAATTTGCAAATCTAATTCTAGTCAATTTATAACAAAGCATGATTTTTGATCAATGTTACACATGATTAATTGTAGCCTTCTCAGTTTAGTTAACCTCACAGTTCCAGACATTTTATAACCAGTCATCAGTGGGTTTATGTTATGATACAAACTTAGATAAGAGAATTCGAATCTGAATACAATCAGTTAGCTCAATGACATATTCATGAACTAAAATTGTACTATAACTCCAACAAATCTAAATCCCAACTCTAAACTATTGAGGAAACTGAATATTATAACCGGACGAAGAATCAGTGAATGGTATCTGCTAGGATCTATTTATGGACTATTATTACATATAGTCCTATTGGATAACTATTAAGTAACCATACTATATGTATAGTCATGTTCCTTTTATTATAAGCTTTCATTTGACCTAATGGCTACTATTATATGATTTACCATTCTTAACTTATTCCCAATTTATGAGTTACAGTCTCTCATACTCATAGCCACTTTTTGGCTTAATCTTGTATAATTTTCATTTTCTATTTTACGGTATGATTCGGTCTAATTTGCTTGTAACTAAACTGCGTATATCTGAAATACATAAAATGTGCAGTGGAAGCTGATATTGTGTTCTGAACTCAAGCCAACAAGATTGGGCAAGAAGAACAAATAAAGACTCAGAGTTGACTGTAAACTGCTCGTACTGGTTAACGCTCCACTGGTTTGGCACAGTGCCAAGATCATATAAGTCAGTGTTCTAATTGGAGATCTTATCATGTGATAATCAACAGGTCCATAGAACATAACGCTGAAGAAGTTCAAATGTTTATTCTCCTCTTTTAATCGATAATGATAAAATGAATTATTAGGGTTTATTGATACGACATTATTCCTTGTTTCTGGGAATCGATCAGTCAATCAAGTTATATTCAACATAGAACCTGGCACATATGTAAATCAGTTCATGCTGCCGTATTCCATTAGCACAGCAAGATGAAATTATCAAGGGAAATCCTAGTTTAGTACAGATGGCAACAGTATCAACAGTAATAGAAAAGATTAGGCTTCTAAGGTAAATTTCGAAAAGAAAACACTGATTAGTGGAAGATTAGAAAATCTATGAAGTAATTTAGAAACTTGTGATCTAAGAGTCATTTCAACCAGTTTCTAAATATAGATGTTGCTTATCACACAGACTCCAACTGGATAATCTGGAATTGCCCACATGGTTCAACACAACAGCCAGTATCTTTATGGATTAATGACGAATCTTGTTTGATAAACCGTAGTTGTTTTCCAAATCATACATTCACCAGCCATCATCATCCATCTAGGTAGTCAATCCAAGGCTATACATAATACATGTCTTTAATACCTCATCAATTGATTTACTATGTACAACTAGTATCCTGCATCTAATCTTAGACTTGCTAACTCGATGATCCCAAAATACACAAACAATCACTCAAAGGTACCTGAGATCGAATAGTAGTAACTTACAAATATCTTTACTATTTAAGGGGCATGTTTTACACTCATAAAGAGAATGGAGAAAAGTGTTAAATAGTATACTTATCCTTTAGTTGACAATAATACATATCAATGATGCCACAAGTAATATAAGCTAGAAAAAGCCAACTGAAATCAGGCTGAGATTTCTTTTGAGCATCAACTCATCATTACTTATGGTATTTTTAAGGTAAACGAAGTGATTCGCACTGTCAATTACTTCAGGGGTTGAAACAGGTGAGTTCTAAATTTAGATAGAGAGAAACGAATTCAAACATGCTACCTTAGAATTCAACCATTCAAGATGTGAATTATTATGACGCACATCTTAATATTGTGCGTACACTTTAAAAATTCTAAATGTCAACCATAAAACATCCTTTATTTCCTGAAAATAATACATTTTCCAATATTTTGGGATTCATTTTATGAAATTATGTAGATGTAGTTTGCAGATTTTACTGATTCTCACCTTAGTCAATCGGTCAGCTACAACGTAGGACCAGGCACATATGTGCATCGGTCCAAGTTGCCATACCTCATTAACACAACAAGATGAACACCGGATTCATAGAAGTAGATACTTCAATCGTAGTTATGTGTAAAAGAAAGATTGTGTATAAGGATATAGTACATGAAGAAAGAATTAGTTTGTTTAAAGAAAGGTATAAAGCAATTTTAATCTCATCGTTTAAAGAAATACAAATAGTGTATACATCTGGTCTATTGTGATCGATTCTGAGCCATATATCACCCACATTCTCTAACCATTGATTACGATAGTCACATGGACCCCAACCAAGTAGTCTGCATCTAACAACATGGCTTAAACTAGAAGTCAGTGACTCAAAGCACTGATACCATTTTTTGGTTTGGCCACTCCTGACCTTCTTCCAACCTTGTCCAACACTATTCAGCATTACGCGTCGTGGTTCTCGGTGTTCAAGCATACGTAACACATGGCCTAAACATCTTAGTCGATAAAGATTCACAACCTCATCAACTGATTGACCATCATTCTCAAATACCCTGTGTCTAACCTCACTGTCACTTGCCCAGTAATCCGAGTAGTGCTCAGTGGAATTCAAATTTATCGGGTGTAGAGAAGGTACCCACCGAAGATGGTCGTGCAATATCATGATCTGACTGAAGTTACACTCGTATATCATCGAAACCCGTCTCAGTAGTCTAGATGTTAAGGAATTGTGCACAACAAGGAAGGTCCTAGTTTCAATTCCCTATGGAATGATATTCGATTTACACTGCTTTGAAGTCACATAATTTGGTTAAACAAATCTCCAGTGCTTTCAGTTTTTCAATTGTTGTCTAACTTGGACCAGTTCACGATTTCAATAAAACATAATCGTCTTCAAGACTCCTTACTAATAATAAGAATCAACATTCAAATATCGAGTACCTTACGTTACTTTCTTGTAAAACTAAATACTAATAATTAGTGAACGTGTTGATTTTTTTAAATTCCACTGTGTAATTTGCGACCAGTTTAGTCCAATCTATGTCGGATATGAGATAGTTATTCACATCTGACAATGGATATAGGATTGCGCAAGATAATGGATCAATTGAAGTTAGAGATTAATAACTTTAGATGCCAGATTAATCGTCTAGAGTTTAAGCGTTCGAGTGCTCCACCTTAGGCCCTAAGTTCTAGTCTCACCTATAAGATCGTGGATGCTCACTGCTGAATAGTTTCATACTGAGATGAAACATTCATACAGTGTTTCCAGGTTTTCAATACTGGTCTACTTTAGATTCACAAATCCCCATAGTGATAATTTTAAAATGTCCCTTAGATTGTAAATACAACAGGAGACAAAATATTCACCGAAAAATTTGACATACTAACTGATCAAATCATATCATACATATACATACACACCCACACACACACATACCTACCCTCTTCTTCATCATCATATATAATACATATAACATAGGGGTCGAAATGTATTCATGCACAAACACAACCATACATTTATAGATCTATATACACATATATACAAATATGCAAATATTCTTATCTAAACAAACCATAGTGATAAACTGGAAATAATAATGAGAAATAGACATATACTACTAATATTACTAACATGACTACCTGATACTACTATTGCCATTATTTACATAAATGATTAAACGATTTTGATTGGTCAATTAAATTTCTAATAATTAACCAATAGGATTAAAGGAACAATAATTGAATAATTAATAATAATGATCATGTTCATATTCAATTATTTGATCTGGATCAAAACTCATTCAGAAATATAACATCATGAATAGATCGATAACACCGAAACAAATTAAAGAACCGGAATTATTTGATATAACAAATCAATTAAAATTATGGGCAATTAATATGTATCATTTAACAGCAACAAAAGATCAAAAGAAATATGATCCAATTGAATTAATATTACGTATTCTATGGGATGATATACATGTGAATAATGAGAAACCAGAATATTATGATAATAATCGAATAAAATTACCTAAATCTAATATATTATTCTCTACAACATTTAAAAATAATACAGATTCGGAACAAGAATATAATTTTCATACAGAACGTTGTACACGATCAATCATTGAAATTGAAATACAAAAAGGTGTTATATTATCAAAAGAATTATCATTGAAATTAGCGGTAAGTGATATTGTTTATACTCATATTAAAAGAAAAAGAAGCAATTTGCTACCTTTCTTTCTTCCTTCCTTCCTTCCTTCCTTCCTTCCTTCCTTCCTTCCTTACTTACTTACTTACTTACTTACTTACTTACTTACTTACTTACTTACTTACTTACTTACTTACTTACTTACTTACTTACTTACTTACTTACTTACTTACTTACTTACTTACTTACTTACTTACTTACTTACTTACTTACTTACTTACTTACTTACTTACTTACTTACTTACTTACTTACTTACTTACTTACTTACTTACTTACTTACTTACTTACTTACTTACTTACTTACTTACTTACTTACTTAGGACTGTTAAACCTCGTGCACCTCATGTACAGTTCAACCATCAGTATTCTTTATCTAACTATGTCTTGGGCAGTCTTTTTTAGTTCTCTTCATGTCTGCTTCCAATTCTTCATGTAGTATGTTTTTTGATCTTCCCTTTGAGGATTCCAAGTTAACATTTGTCTCGTGATACAGTTTGGTGATTTGCTCAATGTATATCCTATTGACTTCTAGTGTTTTTTTCTAATTTGTTCTTCAGATGGGAGTTGATTTGCTCTCTCGTACAATAGTCTGCTGACGATGACATTCGGTCAATGGGCATTGAGTATAATGTGTAGACAATTGTTTATAATTGTCTTGATGTTCGTAGTGAATATTATGACTTTGATATTAGTTGACAGACTGTTGTTTTAATTTGCATATATTGTTCGATTGTAGGAATTCTGTCTTTTCTTTATTAATCCTTGTTTTCATGTCTGTATCAGATCCAGAATATTATGTTTACTTAGGCCTGTTAACTCTCATGGTGGAGTATGAGTCGCTCACTAGCATTTTTTATCCAACTTTGTCTTACCCAATCCTTTCCAGTTCTTTCTAGTTGATATTTATCCTTGTAATGTCTGGTTCCGGTTCTTGACGCAATGTGCTCTTTGATCTTCCCCTTCAAGATTCCAAGTTAACAATTGTCTCGTGATGCACTTTGATGATTTGTTTAAAGTATGTCCTATCCACCTCCAGTATCTTCTCCTAATTTTTTCTTCAGATGCAAACTGGTTTCGTCTCAGCTACATTAGGTTGTTGCTGATGTTATCTTGTGTAGACATTTGTTTATAAATACTTGTATTGTTTTGATGATAATTGTAGTAGTTTTTCAAGTTTCAACTCCGTTCATTAGGACTATTTTGACGTTCGTATTGAAAATTCTCACTTTGATATTGATTGACAGACAGTTGTTTTTATATTTCATATGTTCTTTGCTTTGTCAATCCTCGCCTTATTTCTGCATTCAGTTCTCATTGTTCATTGATGATACTTCACAAATATATGGAAGATTCCACATCTTCCAGAATTTCTCCATCAAGTGAGAATTTTAAGACAGGTATTTAGGTTCTGATGATCCTCATATAGAATTATGCTCGGAAACAAGAATAAAGAATTGAATAGAGTAACGTGAATACATTTTATTTCTTTTGGTTCTCATTAACTTCTTATAACTTATATTATTTTACAACCAACATCATCATACAGTTCATATACATATAACAGTAATAATGAATTTGTATCATTATGATGGAGTAATGAGATTGAACACATCGAAATATTGCTGTGAGTAAACAGAATATATGAGAGAATATTCTGTGTTGCCATAGTAACAAGAGAATAAAGAGTAATTGATTATGTAATAATATGGCCGAACATAAATTAATAACCGATAACAATAACATGAATTGAGATTAGTCAGGTAAAAACAACATTTTACATCTTAGAGTAATGATCCAGTTCAAAAAGATTGTTAGGGTAATGTAATAAAATGATGATAAAGTTATTATTGTACGCAAACAAATGCAGATTAAGACAGCCAATGTAGAAACAGTCTCTGTATCAGTATGCCTCAACATACACAAGGGGAAAACCAAGATCGTCAAGTACAACACAGAGAACACCAATCCAATCACAATCGATGGTGAAACTATGGAAGGTGTAGAATCCTCCACGTACCTAGGAAGTATCATCGATGAATAAGGAGGATCAGATGCAGACGTAAAGGCGAGAATTGGCAAAGCAGTGGTCTCATTCCTACAATTGAAGAACATATGGAACTCAAAAGAACATTCAACTTATATCAAAGTCACAATCTTCAATACGAACGTCAACATAGTTAGTTCTATTGAACGGAGCTGAAACTTGGAGAACTACTACAACTATCACCAAGAAGGTTCAACTATTTATAAATAGTTGTCTACACAAGATACTCAACATCCAATGGCCGGATACCATCAGCAACAACCTACTGTGGGACAGGACAAACCAGCTGCCAGCTGAAGAGGAAATTAGGAAAAGACGTTGGAAGTGGATAGGATATACATTACGCAAATCATGAAACTGCATCACGAGGCTAGTCGTAACTTGGAATGCTGAAGTGACTCGGAACAGAGGAAGGCGGAAGAACACATGACGTCGGAAAATAAAAGTGGATATGAAAAGAACGAATAACAGCTGGAAAGAGCTGGAAAGGATTGCTTAGGACAGTGTTGGATGGAGAATGTTGGTGAGCGGCCTATGCTTCTCTTCACGAGGAGTTACAGGCTTAAGTAGGTTACCATTGTAAGGAAAGATTTATCAGTTTTCTTTTTGGATACATAAATTGGGCCTTAAAGTATTTGATAACCGTGGCTTCCATGAATTTGAAAAGAATTAAATTTGACTATTGATTGACAGTCTTGAAACAATTCAGTTTATCAATCCGTTGTTTAGCAACAATATTGCTAAAAGCTAATATTTCCTGATGAACTGAAACATTTTTGGGATATATTCTTCAAAATGAACGTAGCCCATATTTACTGTCCTAGCGACTTATTTGCTTCGAAAGGTATATTATAATTTATATATACAGTTGGCGGTAACATGAAAGGGGTACCCATGAGTCTTTGACTAGAGTAAAGAACACAATGTTTCATATAAGATAACCAGTTTTTGATCATCTGTTTACTGTAACTGCAACAATATCATCTAAGTTGAATGAAAATAGGTTTCTTGTCTGTTGTCTTCATTTTTCATATGTTTATTTATTTGAACAAATGAATATTGGTACGAAGTGGCATCAAATACATATGCACCACACAAGTCACTTGATTTGTGTGAGCGCTGTGATACTTTCCGGGTGCCCAAACCGAAACAGGTGGTTTTCTTAGAGGGCCACACCCCGAGTCTTCTACCTAAAGGTCTAATCCACAAGACAGACGAACATCGTAAAGAGATGCAATCCCATGGTAGCTGATGACCAACGATTGGTTCATACCCCATTTGTTCCTTCAGGATACTGGAGCTCATGTGCATCGTTGATTTGGAGTGAGAGTACTCCAACTCCTCTAGGTAAATCCTCCACATTCACCAACGCGTGTTAAGGCACCGGGCATTAGATTTTCGTCCTCTCAATTTCGAAAACAACACTCATGGTGCGAGAAGGCAGTGAGTTGGATTTCTCTGGTTACTGTTGTATGCACGTGGCCATGTGAGAGCGTTTGCAGAGGAAGAGCTGCTATTCCTCACTCTGGATCGTACTAGGACATTTGTGGGCCTTGTAGTTTGACCATTCTATACAATAAAACGATCTTCAACATACTTCGCATAATACACCATTTAATCAATCCCATCTTTATGAATATATCTTCTAGGATAAGATCTATTGAACTTGTTTTTACTACTTCACCTCTTAATATTAAAAAGAATTAAGTGTATAGACTAATAAACTGAAAACAACTAGAAGGAATACTTCAAGTATATAAGATTAATTGGATCCTATTTGTTACTTTCAAGGAAGAAGATTTATTCCTTTTCTAAGTAGGAACTAGAGAAGAGTTGAAAATTAGGAAACACTATTCAATCCGTTTTCTTATTATTTTTTCCTAGTCAATATGTTTGATGCACAAAAGATACACACACGCATACACACACGCATATCTACACGGATTGTTTATCAGAGACTCGATTAGTTTGTAATTTAAAAGCTTAGTATTATAACTGGCTTATGGTAGCTAAGCATTCATAGCGACATCGCCAATTGATCTTTCGATATCGGCTCTTCCTTGAATTGTTTCTTTGCATATTCAGTGAAACAGGGAATGAAATTGTATTTTGACTCAAAGAACATTCTGGGCGGTGTGGTTTATCGCTGCATACTTCAGTATCTTGGTCATGTCAAATAAGTAGTGGTATAAATTACGGTGTTTAAGTCTTAATATGATGTGTGACTCGTTCTGAAGGCCATTTTAGACGAGGAAACTCCGACTGTTAGTAACTGCTTAGGAACCCATTTTTATGAAAGTGATAGTGTATCATATGGTAATAAACTGTTATATTAATGTATGACTGATGAATTCATACAAGAAAACAATGTTTTGAGCATCAAAAGGCTTTATATTGAACATTCCGATAAAAAAAGTCAGGTAGATTACACGTACGAAACATCATTGGTATACAGTCATCAATTTATCACTGAGTTGAGTGCAAATGTGTACAGATTTTCATTAGTACATTGTAAGCACAAATCATTTTGTTTGTAATATGTGATTATCTGCTTCCGAATGCCTTGGAATGGTCGAGGGTAGGGAGAGTCAAATCTCCATCTCGAAATGTTCTCACATGTTCACATGCATACAACCACTGACAGGGAAGTCCTACTCAATGCTTTCCCGCACTAAAGGTGTTGTTTACGAAACTGAGAGGACAAAAATTGAGTGTTGACAGAAAAACTTCATTCTAAACCAATGGTGCACATGGACATCAGTATCCTGAAGGAACAAATATCGTATGAACTATTTGTTGGTCATCGACTTCAATCGGACTGCATCTACTGACGTTTATCCACTGCATTGTGGATCAGACATTTAAGTCGAAAGCTCTGAGTTTATTCTTTCTCTATTCATAACAAATAGGATCCATTAAATTTTACA